TTCACCGCCATCTATGGCTTTACCGTTACATCATAAATCTTGAAATTAATGACGCAGTTTTCATCATAATGATAAATTTCGAAATTAATAATCAGTAACATCAGCTTTGCGATCTACATACAAAATTATATCATAGGGTATGTAAAAATCTTAACTCCTTCCAAAAATGAATAAATGAAAATCATTACTTCTACTAATCATAGCAATTTATAAGAAAATGATTCTTTTGCAGCAGAAAGGGACCAAACTGGAAATCAATGTATGATTTGTGTAAAATTCGGGTAAAATTCGGTGCAAAAAATCGGTTGGCATAAAAAAATTTAAGCGGATTTGCACATCACCTGAAATTATTACCAAATTTACATAACACTAGGAATCCGGAACCGATATAAGTCCGGAGCATTACCATATTTGGTTAAATCCCCATTGTTTCAAAATAGGTGCAGAGGGACAGACAAAAATTTCGAAGTTACGTTATTGGTATATTAATTATAATAATTATGCTAATGCATCAAAAAGGAAACGTTTGATGGTCTAAATGCATCAAAAACGTAACTTTTGTATTACTTAATGCGTAAAAATTGAGTGTCCGCCACGCTCCGGACAATTATCTCAAAAACATTTTTTGGACTCTTCCTGCTATAAAAATTGTTTCTTTTTTGAAGTCAAATCAAGCGTAATTTAGTAGTCTAGTTCAAGTTACATAAGAATGCTAACAAAATAAAATACAGTTATTGGGGCTAAGTATATATATTTTCGATTACGCGTTATATAATATCTTACTGATTAGTATTTAGGTGTATACATATGATGATAGATCAATACAAAAAAAAAAAAAAAGGCTAGAATGAAATTAAAACTGAAACTGGCATTATCTCACAAGAACTTTTAACGATTCAACTTTGTTTGTGTCACATGACATGCGTGGAGGATTTCTATTAATTGATAGAATAAAACTATAGTTTATGACTTAATCATGACTAAACTTACAAATAGAATAATACCAATAAAGTATGAATGATATCAAAATAGAATAATACCAATAAAATATGAATGATATTAAAATAGAATGATATTAAAATAGAATAAAAGAGATTTATTTATCCACCTTTCAAATGGATCACAAAATTGGGTATGGGTATCTTTTTTAATAGTACTTTTTTCATTTTGATGGAGTTCCGTCAAGATAAAATGAGAACTTGAAAATAACTTATCGGACTTAATCCTAAAAAATCCAAGTACATTTTTCCTTAGTGGAATTCTTTTAAGATTACAACAAATAATAATGGAAAACAAAGGAAATTATCGCGCTTTTCAAATTATTGTATCCACTGATTTTCATACACCACACCGGCAATTAAAAATCTAGAATAAATGCAAATTTGTGATTGGTTAAAAATAATTTTTAGCCAATCACGTATTGGGATTTCTGATTTCCAGTGTGATGTATGAAAATCAGTGGACACAGTAATTTAAAAAGCGCGATAAATATATAACGATAAATACATTTAAAATTTAAAACTTTTAAAAATACCAAATTATAAAATAGAGCAGTTATGAAAAACAATTACTCCTTAATAATTTTATTATTATTAATTTTGACATTACAAAAATATCCGACGGCTCATGCAATACAAACTGAGCCGTTAGCGAGATTATGGAACGTACAAGATAATGAAATAGCTACGTATTTGCGTAGGCAGATAAGGTTAGAGCAAGCGAATGAAATCCTCGGACCTATAATAGGTGAAGGTCTTGTTGAGGGATCTAATCTTTATGCGGGATCTCGCATAAATGTAGTTACGAATCGAATAACCGTTTACACTACAGAATTGAATTTGAGAGATGAATTACTTGCACTTCCTCAAGTAGAGCCTATTGCACATTTAATAGACGTTGTAGAAGTTCGATTATCCATGAATGAACTAATACACAAGTATAGGAATATACTTGCTCTTGCCAGAGAGCATAATCCAGTGTATGTTGGTGTTTACATTGATAGAGAACGGAATAATGTCGTTATAACTTTATATGATGATCACAATATACATAATGCTGAATTTATAGTGGATGTCAGAGAATTTAACCCAATTTATGATCGTCAGAATTTACATAATCACCAACAAAATTTGCATAATGAACGTTCCAATTCACATATTATAAAACGTCAACCTCCTTTGATAAATTCTCTTCTCGTAGCTGGTGATGGATTAGTTAATTTAAATGAACATTTTACGTGTTCACTAGGCTTTTTAGCAAGAACGAGAGCATCAGATCAAGAAGTCTTTGTAACCTCAGGACTTTGTTATCGGCATAATCAAAATTACCATCTTTTACCGTGGACTTCACATGTTGAGCACAATAATATTGGAAGAATGACAAGTATGGGACGACTTACAAGAGAAATCGATTTTGGCATCCTCAGTATAGATAATCCCATTTACATTCCAATGCCATCTATAAGACATACTGATTCTATTTATAATGCACAGCTCCCTATTGTTTATTTCCAGCGTAGATTAAGTGTTGGCTCTCATTTATGTAAATCTGGCTACGGTACACATGTTACATGCGGTTATGTAAAATCGACTGATGCGATTTATTTTGGGGCCAATGATCCTTATAGTGGCTTGTACATTATTCAAGCTGAAAATAACGATAGAGATGTTGGGGGGTCAGTATTTTCTTATCATATGAATATAAATGACGGTGATTTACGGACTTCTAGAGCGGATTTAAAAGGTATAATCACTGGAGGTGTAGGGAATTTTGCCTTTATTACTAAATTAGAAAAAATTCGTGCAGAGGCTCATGTAGATATTGTTACTTCTGTAGATATACGTTAAATTTCGTATGTTTACATATCATTGTTGATTGTATTACTAGGAAAAATTAGCTGATAAATTAGATCCTTAATTTTTTTCTTTTAAAATAATTCATTTAAAATTTTTAATTTTAAATATTGCCCTTTAAATTATCTTATAGGAAAATTTTCTTGCAAATTATCTTGAGTATATAGTTACATTGAAAATATCGACCCACTTTTTCGTTTAGTATGTCATTTACAAATTTAGTACTTTATTTGTGAAATTTTACGAAAAATAATTTTACATGTAAAAGTTTATTGTAAAATCACAGAGTGATTATTTTAGCATTACGTCGCATTTTCAAATCAAGCTAATATTCAGTCACAAATTCGGTCACAAATTCTGAGTATTTGGACTCCAAATTTAATCTTTGTTATTAAAATATTACTACTACATATTAATCGATTAACTCTAAATCCCGAAAATTTTTTTGGACATCTGATTTATAACACTCCTAATCCATATTCTCACTATCTCACAATTTTGACGAATTTCATTAGACATATAAATTTACATATAATACTTGAGAACATTAATTTTCAAATTTTACAAAGTAAATTCTTAATTTATGTCAGTGTATGTAATTTGTAGATCAATATAATGCAAAATTTAAAGATAAAAATTAAACTAGACTAGGAAAACGGGATCCGCTGGGTTCCGGAGTGCCACTTCATATTAGCAAACAGACTATCAAAGTTGCTTGTAAACCTACTAATTTAAAATAAGTTATTGAAATTTTTTTTGGCATTATGTATAATTACATGAATTGTATTTTATTATTGTCACTATTTATGTGAATTTAATTGTTTTTTAATTTTATGCAAATTAGCTTTATTAAAATACAGATCACACACTGGTTATTACTAGCTATAAACATCAACACTTTACTGCTTATCTTTTATACTTCCTGCATATTAATAATAGCTATAAATACATATAGACAATATACTATTATTATTCCTATACAACATTGTATTACAATTCAAGCTATATATTCAAAATACCTATATACTAATATTTCTGATTTAATTTCTAATCACCCTCTCTTTAATAATATAAAAATCAAAATTTAATACTTTATTAGACCTACTACTCTACATAGGCCTACATGCATTACTATCACCCCAAACCAAGTATTCAAATGGAGACCTACCTATTCTTACCTAAATTATTTAGCACAAATTATTGCACAAGCTTCTAAACTCTGTTTCTATATATACTATACATATCAATACAAATTTACCAAGCTCTTCTGCATCATTTATCTGGATGTTTACTCAAAAAAACATATTATTTATAGTAAATATTATTTTTTGGCTATCTACAACCAGAGTATATTTTGTAGAAATAATTTTTATACTAGCTATAGTACCATCAGATTATCAAATAACAATTCTAACCTCTCACTTTGTAACAATTAATATGGTAAACTCAGTTTTACAAACTATATACAACCTCAATATAATATTACAAAAACAAAATTTTTGGCTACTCAAGTAACTTATACATATCATTATTGTACAAAAAATATTATAATTAGATTTACATTAATTGAAGCCAAGTCAAAATCTTCACTATTTTAATATACAATATAGCCTGCAATATTAATACAATATAACAAAATCAAACTTATTTCTCATACACTAAATCACAATAACTTTTTTATAAGCTAGAACAGCACAATTATTAAACACAAAATCTGAAGATTTATTAGGTATATACAAAATACAAACAATACAGCCAAGTGGTACTCTCTAAAAGAATCCAAATCAAATCTAAAGCCAAATAAAACAAAATACAGACTAAGAATTACTATATAACTTTATAAACTATAACAATCTATATACCTGATTTATATACTCCAACCTATTAAAAATTAAAAATTTAAATAAAGTTTCTTCTAAACAAACTATCTATACTCTTAAACCTATACTTTCAATACTCTAAAACCTATATCAATCCAACTTACAAGAGATGCAATACTGAAATTAAGGATAATACTTACTGGCTTATATACAACAAAAATCAGACTGCAATATATTAACTAATTCAGAACATCATTATTAAGTTTCTAAATAAGCAAAAGATATAGCAACAAGCAGCCACTACAATTTTGCAGAGGTTCTTTATAACCTCCAAAAATACCTTCTTTATAATAGCAATACAAGGTTTTGCTTCTTCTAACATTTAGAAGCTCACTATTTTGTCTAAGATTTACTATACCCAACTACTATATAAGATTTCTAAGAATATATATGAAACAATCTAGCAAGCCCAGTATATTGCAGTATATCTGCAAGAGATAATAACTAATCTACTTACTATACTATCCCAAAACATCAATCTATACTACAACATAGCATAGCAAGATTTAATAAATAGGCAGCTATCTTTCTTATCACTAATATATCCATATCATATATCACTTTTATAAATTTAGATAAGGCCTGTTAGCCTACTCTAGTAGAATTTTAGGCTGAGTATAAAGTAGTTTTAGCTGTAGGCCTTTGTAGTAATTTATATAATTCATTCTATAAATATAAAACATAAATTATTCAATAAAGACTGAGGCCAGGCCTTACTTTTTTTTAAAAAAAAGTATTTAAATAGTATTTAAAATCATCAAAAGGTGAAAATTTGAAAAGACAAATACTATTATGAGAATAATATAAACACAGCTAAAGTTACAAAAAAGCATTTATATGATATACGAAATCTGCTAAAAATGATAACTTATATAGACAAAATAAACTTAGATTTTATTACCAAAATAGTACTCAAAATTAGCAGAAGGTAGCAATTCAAATAAACAATTTTATCTTGAATTTTGTTACCAAAATAGTATAGAAGCTATTAAAGATAAATAAAAAGCATTTAAATAGTATTCAAAATTAACAAAAAGCAGAAATTTGAAAGAACAAAATAATCTTGAAGTCTGCTATGAGAATAGTATAAACATAGCTAAGAATGCAAAAAAAGCATTTAAATGATATTTAAAATTAGTAGAAAAGGACAATTTGAATAGACAATTTTATCTTGGACTATGCTATCAAAATGGCATAAGCATAGCTAAGAATGAATGAAAAGTATTTGAATAGTATTCAAAATTAGCAGAAGGTAGCAATTCAAATAGACAATTTCATCTTAGACTTTGCATCAAAATAGAATAGATATAGCCAAAGCTGAAACAAAGGTATTTGAATAGTATTTAAAATCTGCTATAGGTGAAAATTTACAAGAACAATTTTATCTTGGACTCTGCTTTGAAAATAGTATAGTTATAGCAAGGATTCTGCTATTAAAATAGTTTAGAAATAGCTAAGGATAAAAAAAAAGCATTTGAATAGTATTCAAAATCTGTTGAAAGTAGCAATTTGAAAGGGCAAAGTATTCTTAGATTTGTTATCAAAATTGTATAAGCACAACCAAAAATGAAAAAAAGTATTTGAATGATATTTGAAATCTGCTAAAAGTAGAAATTTAAATAGACAATTTAACTTTAGATTTTGCTATAAAAATGGTATAGGCATAGCTAAGAATGAAAATTTGGCTTTTGAGTATTATTCAAAGTTAGCAAAAAATAGTAGTTTAAAAAGACAACTTTATCTTAAAATTTGTTATCAAAATAGCAAAGGCATAGCCAAAATAGACAAAAAGCATTTGACTAGTATTAAAAATTAGCAGAAGGTAGAAATTTAAAAGGACTGAACTCTGCTATGAAAATAGTTAAAAATAAAAAAAACTATTTGAGTAGTATTTGAAATCTGCTAAAAGAAAAAATTTAAGTAAAAAATTTTGGTTTGTACTCTGCTATGAAAATGGCATAGACATAGGAAAGGATGAAAAAAAGCATTTGAATAGTATTTGAAATCAGCAGAAGGTAGCAATTTAATAGACAATTTTATTTATAACTCTGCTATCAAAATAGTATAAAGACAGCCAAGGATGAAAAAAGCATTTGAATAGTATATAAAATCTGCTAAAGGTGGAAATTTAAATGAACTTAGATTTTGTTATAAAAATAGTATAGGTACAGCTAAGGATAAAAAAAGTGCATTTGAGTGATATTTGAAATCAGTGAAAGGTGACAATTTGATAGAACAACTTAATCTTGCAATTTGTTATCAAAATAGCAAAGGCACAGCAAAAGATGGACAAAAAGCATTTGAATAGTATTTGAAATTAGCAAAAGGAGAAAATTTGAAAGAACAAGAAAATCATAGATTTTTTTATCGAAATGGTATAGGTATAGCCAAGGATAAAAAAAAAACATTTAAGTAATATTTGAAATTTGCTGAAGGTAGCAATTCAAATAGACTAAGTAATCTTGGATTCTGCTATCAAAATAGTATAGAAATAGCAAAAAATAAAAAAAGCATTTGAGTAGTATTTGAAATCTGCCGTAGGTAGAAATTTAAATAAACAATTTTGTCTTGACCTTTGTTTAAAAATAGTATAGATACAGCTAAGAATGAAATAAGTATTTGAATGGTATTTAAAATTAGCAGAAGGTGATAATTCAAATAGAAAATTTCATCTTGAACTCTGCTACCAAAATGGTATAGACATAGCCAAGAATAAAAAAAAGACATTTGAGTGGTATTTGCAATTTCTAAAGGTAATAAATTTGAGCAATATTTGAAGTCTGCAGTAAGTAGCAATTCTGATAAGCAATTTAAGCTTAGATTCTGCTTTGAAAATAGCATAAGCACAGATATAGATGAAAAAAAGCATTTGAATAGTATTTGAAATCTGCTTAAGGTGGCAATTCTAATAGGCAATATTGTGTTAGATCTTCTTATCAATATGGCATAGACACAGCTAAGAATAAAAAGAAAATATTTGAGTGGTATTTGAATTAGCAAAAAGTAGTAATTTGAATAGACAATTTTGTTTAGAACTCTGCTAACAAAATAGTTTAGGCACAACTAAGGATAAAAAAAGCATTGAATAGTATTTAAAATCTGCTAAAGGTGGCA